TATATATATATATATATATATATAATACAGATGTAATATTGTATGTATAAATTATATATAATGTTCGTATTCACTTAGATTAAAACTTTTTTCTACAAGACACTCCAATACCAACAACAGCAATCCGTTACTCTAACAACGGAACTGGCAGATCATTTCTTTATTATACGTTTTTTTTGTGTAACGCTATAGCGCTGCTACAGCAAAAACGCATACTGTCAAAAGGTTGTCCATGTGTGTGTTTGGAAGCGAGTGAACTTTGTCACCTACTTTTAACTCAGCAATCAGGAAAGCTGGGAGGCTGAAATTTTGAGAACATATTTCCACTCTGTGTGTCACCTTCCCTTTTTAAAGTCTTCCGTCACACGCGCCTAGATCTCACGTATAGATCCCCGAAAAAAATATGCAAATCTCTTTGGCGAGAAACGATTTCGCGAACCCGGCAAGATAAAAGCTGAAACTTTTCAGGAGTATTCTCTGTGCGTATGTGAGCAAAAGACCTCAAATTCTGCCATCGCGCATGCTTATACCGCACGTGCGGCCAAGTCAAAGTTCGCAGTTGACACAACTCGAAAACTAGCCGGAAAACAGTGGCTAAAATTTTGTTAGAGTATTTATCACTCACATGGGAAATCATGTACCGAAACTGAATTCCGTTTTGCACTTGCACCACGACTTAGGGTACTGAAAGCATATTTGTAGCGAAGTAGCTATTTCGTCTACCAGACAAGCTGTGAAGCGAGAACTTTGCAAGAATATCTTATATTCACGTGTAGTCTTAATTCAGCTTGGAGATGAAATTCCATGGATGCAGACAGGGCAGGTACTCAATTTTACCACAAACTCAAAAACGAGTGCATTTTGTAGACTTCATAATCCTCTTCCGAATTCCTTCACATTTGCATTTTCCAAAGAGTGCGCGTTTATTAGAAAGACGACCGGGCTTCATGCAAAAACCTGATTATCATGTACCTAGAGGCTCATACGGCCCCATAATGCAACACTTCCATCCCAACTGACGCCCTTTCCCCCTGCATGCCAGGAGAGGGCGAAACATGGCCAATATAAGTCCAAGTGTCAGACTACCGCGCAGGAATGATCCATGCTATTCGCGATCTGCAAGTTTAGCGCAAAAACGCATGATCACACCGGCAAGCCTGTTGCTTTGCAGCCTGGGCTTTTTATTGTTCCATACCTTCCAGATGCTGCTGCATTTTACATTTATATTTACATCACTTTTTATACTATTCCTAATTACTATTCATTCCATCAACGCAACAACTGTCGTACTGATGGGAACCAGCTGTGGTGCTGAAAAATACAAATAATTTAATGGACTGAAACATTTCATTTGATTACTTTTATTATGCATACATCTTTTATGTTTTAAATGAATTACTATCAATATCTTTATTTCAGTTATTTTTCAAAATACTTAAACCACAACTGAACTGATAAGATTCAGCGTATTGGTGCTGATGTAATGGAACGAAACGTCTTGTTTTATTTCACATTTTCTAAATGTTTTTATGCCATTTATAGATGAAACGGATTCTGAACAAATAAATCCGCCTTTCGTTTCATAATCATACAATCATCCTAATATTCATCTCATTATCTCCTTACATGTGGCCTATGCCTGAGATTAAAAAGCGAGAAACATCCGTGATCAAACTCGACTTTTTCGGCTTAGTTATTTCCATGCCTCGAATTATTTTAAGCCGCCTGAATTTGCCCTTCTGCGAAGAGAAGTTTTTGCAGAAATCAGTGATGGAACAAGATGTGGGAAGCGTAATGCATACTTAGAAGTCTGCTGCTCGTCTTGCTGCACCTTGTGTAAATCGCACGCCGGATCCTGTTTCCAGGCTTCCACATCACCGCAATCGCAGTAGCCACTGCCACCAGATGTTGTCATCTTAAGACAATATAGCTTCGAAATTATCTTTTTAATAAGTCCATAATAAAAACAGAATCATTTGCATATATTCAATATCAAGATTATTCGCAATCCCGCATCGTGCAAGCTCAACTCTGTGATGTTCGTGAGGGATGCGCCGTCGAATTCCGTCCCTCCCTCTCCAAAATGCTGCGCCATCAGTGTAATCAGAAAGTCAAAAATCCTATATTTGCTTTCCAGGAGAAGTGGAGGATTCCGACGACAATCCAAGTAATAACGCGTGCCAATAGCAACCAAATGCTATTATCATTGCCGAAGGCTTCTTCTTTCTGAGGTTATGTAGAGGAAATTAAGAGTAATTCTGTCTCCCTAGCATGCACCATTGTCAAATTATCAACGAAACGAATTCTAACGGTATTAATTACATCGTCTGAGCCGACTATTAGGCCTTCGACACCAGCAATCGCTGAGTCATATCTGTCAGCAGTAGTGTAGTGTTAATATTAA